TTTTAAAAACCCTGTACTTTAAGGTTACTTTCTCCTTTTCTAAATATCAGAAATCAATAACCCTGAATATTATTATTTGACATAATATTCTCTTTGGAATCCTTTGTTAAGGGCCCAATAACCTTAACTGAAAGATGTTAAGAGTTCAGAAAATTTTAATTATATGTTATTCTTTGTGTTTTGTTCTTTAGCTAAATAGAGTGTTAATATATTGCTAAATCTGTTGGGATTTACTCACTCCAATGATAATAGACTAACTCCAACAAATCATGGACTACCACTTGAGAATGAATAACAGTTTTTAAGGTATATGATGTATTTATGTGAATAATAATGAAGAATCGGCTACTTGTAAAGAAACTACAGAAGGCTGTACTTCATTTTTTTTTTTATTGCTATAACAGTAGGAGAGGAATGAGAGAAACAAGATGGAAAACTGAGTAAGTTTCATGGTTAGGAAATAAAAGTGATAAATATAATCTTGACAAATACCAGACATAATAATTTAGAATATGAAGTACAAAGGAAAAAACTGAAAGTAAAGAGAACCAAAAAAAAGCATAGAGTGTAATGTAAAAGTAATAACATTTAAGCATATTTTAAACAATGTTGAAATGTTTCAGAATGTTAAAAAATATTGTTTAAAAATGGGAAATAACATTAATGTAAATATACAAGTCCTATATCAGAAAACTATGCAATCTAAAAGACAATAAAGATTTGAATAACTGAAGAATCATACTATGATTATGAAAATGAATAATATAAAAGAACATCTATAAATTATTATAATCCCAATAAACAATCTGTTGTGTTTTTGTTTCTTTCAAAATTATTCTGCACCTAATCTAAGACTTCTGCAATGCATTAAAATAAGTTTTAAAGCTGTAATACTAGTTGCCCAACAAATTGAGATTTTCAACAAACTAAAAACTGACTTTTCCAAATATGGTCTCCAGGCTTTAGAGAATGAGTGTACTTTGGGATTGGAAAGTGAGCAGAAGAGCCCACCTTGGACCTGGGACTCTGTGGACTGGTACTCACTGCTCTTGGGGAGAGGAGGGAGAAGACAGGTGACTGTAAGACAGCCCAGGCTAATGGCACTTAGGAAATGGGTTGGGTTAACTTAGTCTTCACTCTCTTCATTTCCAGTACTCAGATTCCCCTGGAAACTCCAGCAAATCTCCTGAAGAAGGAAAGATTTCATTTTACTGTAGACCATTTTTTCATTCCTGTTCATCCATCCACATTGACCTAAAGGAACACAATATAGGTTTTCAAACTTCTTGAATGCCTTTATTCTGAGAAACAAAATTGAAAATATAACTTCAAGATTATTTCAAGTCTATTCTGCTTTTTTTGAACAAAGTTAATTCTTTAGTTTTAGTCAGAATCAGAACTTACACAGACACTGGAGATAATGAATCTATATTATAATTGTATATAATTAAAAAAAACCCTACAATCTTAGTCTAGGTGGTACATACATCCCTCACATATAATAGACTAGAATATTCTGAATGTAATATATGTAGATATTTAGCTTACGGTAAATGATAAAAACTATTGATGAAAGAAGTAGTGTCAGAGACATTAAAATTCTTATTGTCAAATAAGAATTATAGTTCTCTTTTATACTTTAACCTCAAACAATAGACCGAAATACATTTTAGATAGATTAAAATATGACAATAAAAATGTTAGATGACAGCATAAATCTGTATGTGTATAATATCATCACAGCAAAAGCATTTCAAATCATGACTCACAAGTCAGACATCATAACACAAATGTTTGATAGCTTTGATCACATAAATTATAAGACCCATCTGTCACTGAAAAGACCACAAATAACGAATAAATAAAAAGAAATTGTTAAAAATGTCCAACTTTCTATGGAAAGAGCTGTTGAAACAAAATTTGAATGAAAAAATAGTCAAACTTCATTAACAGACATTTCAAAATTAATGAATTCATATGCACAAAAGTAGTTAGACACATTTATGGTAACTTGTAAATACCAAATACTTAACACTTATCAATATTAGATTGACAAATTTTTAAAATTATAATATCTGATGTTAGTATTATCGGGGTGAAAATCCTTCAGATGCAGTTGGTGGAGGGCAAATTTATATGATCTATCTATAATATAATTTGGCAATATTTATCAAAAAGTCTTTAAATAATATTGTTTATGCCAATTGATCCAGGAATAACACATTTCAGAACTTACGTTCAGGAAATAAGACAGGTACAGAGATGTATGAATAGGAGTGATTTCTCAGTTCCCAAAAAGAGAGCTCAGTTCTGACAGAGATTCAGCAAAAATATAGAAATGATTTATGACTATGTGTATTTGGGGACTTGAGCAAGAAGTGGAGTTTGAAACTTATTCTAAAGTGTCTAAGAGGTGCCTGGGTGGCTCAGTCGGTTAAGGGTCTGACTTCTGCTCAGGTCATGATCTTGTGGTTCATGAGTTGGAGCCCCGTGTCAGGCTCTGAGCTGTCAGCACAGAGAGCCTGCTTCAGATTCTGTGTCTCCCTCTCTCTCTGCCCTTCCCCTGCTCACGCTCTGTCTCTCAGTCTTTCAAAAATAAATAAATATTAAAAATAAATAAATAATAAATAAAATGTCTTAGCAAGGAATAAGAATAGGTAATTCATAGGTGGGGCACATTTATTTTTTATTTCTTTTTCTTCCTGTTTTTTTTTTTTTTAATTTTTAGATTTACAGCTAATGGTAGAAATTAAGGGAAATACAAGAAATATATAGTGGAAACGTACATTGACAACCGCTGCAATGACAGGTTCACTTTTTAATACTCTGTGTTTTTAAAATAAACCCCTTCCCCACCCCCCTTGAACATGTATTCTTAGTTCATCAATTTTCAAGGCATGTGTTCTTAGTTGGACAATTTTCTTCCTGGTGGAGACTGAATTATCTATAGCCTTACCTACTCTTGTAGCTTCTCTCATTTTCAATTTGTATCTCCTGAGATCAACCTTGGAGGGTTACATGTGGGAGTTTTTTGTTGGCTGGCCCTTCATTCAATTGTCCAGAACACAGATCACATGATTACATTCAACTGAAGTGAAGCTGGAAAATGCTTTGCTCTGTGCACTGTAAGAAAAGGAAACATGTTTGTTATTAGCTAGAAATCTCTTCCCCAGTATACCCTTCTGATTACCAAATATTTTTTGACCTTTTTTCCCTCACATAAATCCTTGCCATAACCTGTCTAAAGAGACAATCTAACGTCCCATCAAGCCAATGTATCCACCTCAAAGACTAAGTTCTTCAGATATGCACAGTCTTCTTCATCATATATGGATGTATTTGTCCAAGGAGAAAAGGCAAATTATTAATGCTGCTCTCTACCCATACACAAAATACGGTGAGGGAACATAGCCAGGATGAAGTGCTTCTTTATATAAATGCTCTCGTTTGGAAATAAAGACTGGGAAACACTGAGTAGTCACTTATCCTAGCAATTATGAAAACATGCCAGACTGGTATTAAAAGTTCCCTCTGCCTTGGCAGTAGTTGTAATTCCTTGAAGAAACTGAATTCTCCTCTGTACATTCTGTTTTTGTTTCCTCCAATTCTACTCTATGGGAGAATTCAATCTGTAAATTTTATCCCATGGCCACATCTGAAGTATGTTCTTCAGGGGGACTACACAGGTGTTATAGTCCACTTCTTGCTCCCACCAAGTTTGGGGATCCTGAGGTCATTTGAAGTTTTAAGTAGACTTTTGTTTTTTCTATCTAGGCATATGCTACTTTTATGCAATAGTTTCATTAAAAACACAGTAGACCCCTAAAATATCATATTCACGTGCCTATAATCTTTAAGACCTTTTGAAGACATAATTGTAAAGACTAATTTGGTTCTTTAGTTTCTCTGTCCTTTAGACTATAAGTTATTAGCACGAGGATATCTGCAACACGGGCTTGGGAAGGGAGGCAGTACACTCAATCTGACCTTTGTGGTAGGGTTGAGCCTTAGTGGGTTTTGTTGCTCAAAGCTCCCCTCAGTTTTAATCCCTTATTGTGTGGGTTCTATAAATAGCTGGTTTTCCGAACCTTTGAGTTCCCAGTTGTCTGAGCTTTCTTTTCCTCATTTCATTTCTGCTTGAAAGCTGACTATCCTTTGCTGGGTTCATGTCTTTCCTGTAATATTTTACTAAAGGCCAAATGTGAAAGTATATTATTAATCTTACTTCTCCAGCTACTTTCTCTAAAGCTACAAGTCAAATAGGCACTTAATCCTCTACATTGAGTATTCATTTTCCTCCTTCTGTCAATCACATTTAGCACAAATTGTAACACCGTCCCCTCCTTGAAATATGTTCTTTCCTTTGATCAACTACAATGTACTCTGCAGGATATTTTCCTACCTCACTGTTCTCTCCTGCTCAGTTGGCTCCGCTGGAAGCACTTTCTTTTCCTAGACTTTAGATATGGGAGTTCCTAGCTCAGTTCTCACACTTCTTGTCTCTTTTTAGACTCACTCTCTTGGGGAGTTCATCAATTGCCATAGCTTTAAATAATATTTATATGATAATAAAGCCTAGGCTATCATCTCAGTCTTTCCTTTGACATAATTTTATTTAAATGATAATTTATTTTTAATGATATAGTGGTGTTCATCACCTAAAAAATATACACATACACACATATACAGAGACTCACATATTTTCAGAAAGAGAAGAGGAAGGAAAGGCATAAAACCACAGAACATTATACACATGTATTTGTCTATCCAGTCTTAAAATGTAAACTCAGTGACAACAGTGATTGATATGGTAAATGTTAAATTCCCAGGTATATTGTACAAATGATTATTTGTTGACTAGATGGTTGGCTTAATACACATTCATGACATTTTACTTCAATAGAAATATGCTAATTTTTAGAATAACTCATTCTAATGCAGATATATCCTCTGTACTTAAGTTACACATCAGTTGTGTGATATGTTATTCTTTTTTCTAGACCCCAATGCTCTGGCTGGCCAGACTGGCCCTGATCATGCTCTTATAGGAGGAATAGTGGCTGTAGTAGTATTTGTCACGCTGTGTTCTATATTTCTGCTTGGTCGATATCTGGCAAGACATAAAGGTAGGTAATATTTAACAAAGTATTCTTAACTTTGGCAAAAAAACATATTCTAAAGACTAGCTTCATCATGAGATATTAAATGAGTATGTATATATGTGACAGAGAGAGAGATCTAAATATGAAATTATTTCAGAGAATTCTTGATTATTTTACTTAATGAAAGTTGCATCGGTTTAGCAAAATAATGTTTAGCCAATGGCCAAAGGTTACAGAGTGAGTCACTGGCTCAGAGAAAAAAAAAAAACAAAAGAAAAAGAAAACTAGTAACTTTGTAACATATCTCTAGGATTGACATTCAACTATAATGTTAAATGTTCGGTCAACATTTTTGTTTATAGGTTTATAGACACACATATGGCCATATTAGTGAAGAAAATGTGTGATTTTTTTTTTTTTTTTGCAATGGGCTAGGTAGCAAACTATTGATATAATCTACTTTTAAGTGGAGTTTTCAAAATGAAAGATGACACATTTTATGTGATCATTATCAACATCTTAACAAAGGGGCCTGATTGCTACAGCTGCATAGATCACATGGTCTGTATCCATCATTAAAGAAATCAAGCTACTCATTACCCATCCCAGTTAGGCAGTTACCTCTAGTTAACCTGGCCACAGCTTCATCTATAACATATACCTGAAAACTGAGAAAGTGTGCGACATTAGAAGAGTAAAATGTATGGTTTATTATGTCTCAGAATGTGTTCTCACATATAAGAAATCAGGCATAAGTTCCCTCCTCAATGAATGCAGTGCTAATGCTGGCTATTTTACCAGTCTCACAGAACTAACAAATACTTTTTTTTTTCTTCCAATACCCACAGGAACATATTTAACAAATGAAGCTAAAGGCGCTGAAGATGCACCAGATGCTGACACAGCCATTATCAATGCTGAAGGCAGCCAAGTCAATGCTGAAGAGAAAAAAGAGTATTTCATTTAAAATTCTGGCCAAGATTATGAGTTTTCCTTACCAGGCTGGCTGCTGGAGAAAACTGGCTATCATCTTTCAGAATTCATTTCTGCCATCTTCTGCTACCTTTATTAACTTCCATACCGTACTGCTATCAGTAGCCAGTGTATACCAACAATCAGCTGTTGAAAGCATCATTCTTTAATTACTGTACCATCCATAATGCAGTACATTTCTTACTGCCTAAATTCCATACCATTGCTCTTTTAACATACAGTGCTTGAATATACAGCCTTAACAATGTTAATCATCTCCTTGGATCATGGTATTGAGTTGTTTTTAATACATTGAAAAAAGTATGCGAAGTTTTTTTCCCCACTCATTTTTTCCCCTTTAAATCATAAATTTTGTCAGTTTACCACTGGACAGCTTTCATGAGGAGTAGGATTAGGTAAAGACCTGACACGTTTAAGTTTAATCAGAGGTTAGAGGTTTACAATGTTTTCTACATGTCCACCTTCAAAGACATGTCTGGAAACATACGCCCTAGAAAACACATAATAGAATAGATTCTGGAATGTCTGAAATTATACTAGTAAAGCTGTATCAATTTGCTATTTAAAAATATAGTATTTGGTACAGGAGCCATGTGTATGAATTGCAATCATAATATGACATCTTATATAGTTATGTAGATCCCACCATTAGGTTATTTTAGCTTCATTTACCAAGAAATTTTTACAAACATTTTACTGCTTTCGGAATCACAAAGATTTCATTCATTCCTCTAATTTGATTCTGTAATTTATTTGCTCCATCAGGACTCACCTGCCTAAACAAAATTGAAGTATCCATAGGGCACAATTTTGAAACATTTAGTATCTGTATATAGTGCATATAATAAATCCAATTAAACATTATTTGATACATATTTAACTTTTTTGGCTGTAGGTAATTCAGTCATAAGTAAGCATTTTCTAATGTCCATTATATCCCTTTAGATATTACTTAAACCAATATTATAAGTAGATAACATGTATTAGTATTTTTGTCTGTATGTCCTAGCACTGTTCAACAACAAATTTTTCTAGTTCTTGTTAATTTTTATTTGTTATACAATGGAAGCACAATGTTATAAGGAAAGGTAATTTTAAGCTAACAACCAGTGCACAGCCTCAGGTTTTCAATTACAACCACAGTTGAATAATAACCTAAAAGTAAACTCTTAGTTTGCTAAAAATTAAAAAAAAATTAATTTGGCAGTTCCAGAGCTGCTTATCTATGTTGGTTTGCCAAAAAGAAGTGTTTAAGATATGTTTTCTGTATAAATGAACTAATTCTTTATATTAAATTCCTGTCTATGCATTTTGTGAGGTACAAACTTATGAAACAGTGAGTGATGGAGAATTTCTGCCATGCTTTTAACTCCAAGGTGAAAGTCTCTTTCTCTGGATTATTTCTGAAATTTTGGTGTATTTAACCATTAAGAAATGCTGTATTCTTAAATATGACACAGAGTCAATCTAAAGTCATATTATTTCTTCTAGTAAAAGACAATACTGCTAGATTAGTTCTCATTAAATTTATTATATGCTAAAATTAAAACTCCAGTTAGATAAAAAATTATTTTCCCATTCACAATCATTGCACCTTTAAGAAGAAAACAAATAGGACAATATGGTAGCTATACTTGTGATGTCTGAAAGCATGATGGCCTATGGTTTTAAAAATATCTTGGAATTTATTTTTGGGAAATAAGAATGGTTGAGTATGACATCATGTACTAATATCAAATGGAAGACAAGGGTGCTGTATCTTATTTATCAGAAAAGTATAAACTTTTAAAGACAACGTTAGAATTTTTAAATTGTTTTTTTTTATTGTTGAAGCATTTATCTTGTTGATTTCTTACAAAACAAAAAGGACGATGTCAGTCAAGCAGCACTTTTTCAGAATATACAGAACATAAATAATATGATGTGGTTGAGTGTTAACATAATAAATCATATACAGTATGACATTTTAAGGAAATAAGTCTGCATTGATGTGATTGCATGCTTGTTTTTACAGTTCACTCCATACCATCTGTGGAAAAATGCAATAATATGTTAATATAGTATGGTAGTTTGAGAGAATCAGGTAGGTGCTACTAGACACATTGAAACTAGAATAGGTTTATAAACTGTTCATATCTTTCAATGCATAATCTTTAGAAAGACTCCACAAAACAAAATTCATCCTGTTAGTACAAAATGGAAAGGTTCTTATTACAGAAGTAAGTTGTATAAACTGCACCCTCAATGACTATTTAAAGCTTAATTTCAGGATGCACTTACAAAATTACTACTCTTCATGGATGGTGTATTTACATCCCTCTTCATTTTGTCTATATTCTACTTGGCTCCAACTGCTAAATTATTGCCTAAACAACTCAATCATTATTTATAGCACTATAAAATTAGAAATCAAAAATTGGTTGTATTTCAAAAATTTTGACTCTTTTAACCAGTTAGAGTAATATAAAAACTCATTAGAATTCATAAAAATAACCTAATATATTATGATTTGTGGGCTCTAATAAAATGTTTTGCCAGATAAAATAGTTCGATTTGAATTAGGGATCATTTTTAGTTACTGAAAAATATAGCAATAGAGTCATATTTTCCTATCTTTAAAATGTAGTTTATTTTCACTAAACAAGTAAATAAGTTGTAAAAGTTCTGCTCATTTCTACCCAAATCAGGAAAAAAATAAATAACATTTCAAAATAGAACCATGTCAATTGCGATGTCTGAAATGTGCACATGTGTATGCACAGAGAGCCAAATTCTGTCTCTGCTTAATGAGCACAGAAGCTTTGGAACTCAATGGAAGGAATGTGAACACACATACACCCCTAGTAGAATATGGAGCATTATTCTTTACCGGAAGTAACTATTCTCTGCCAGTGTACTGTTTACAGTATAAATTGATCGTTCTCCATCAGGAAAAGTGTAAACAGCATTCTTCTTTTTCTTCCATTCTTGAATGTCCTAGATAGAATGATTATTAAAATTAGGAAGAAAAAGGAACGTTTGTGAGTCCAAGAGCAAAGATAGAGCACATGAGCATAGTATCGATATGTGTATGTTTATGTGTGTGTGTGTGTGTGTATGTGTGTGTGTGTGTGTGTGTGTAAGAGAGAAAGAGAAAGAAAGACAGAGAGAGAGAGAGAAATTTCAACTTGTTTTCTTTTCCCAGAGAATCCAAGAAGCAGTTTAAGGAACCTGATATTGGAGTTTAATCTAGAAACTGGATCTCATATTGATTCAAGATGATTAATATTGCATTGAAATCCCTCAATTAAAATAGAGAAAGAAAACTAACTTTCCTAAATATGGCAAAGAAGCTAACACCTCATTTATTTCTGTTTCTTTGTAAAAATATAAATATCTCAATTAAAAGGACAGGCTCACTTGTAATTATGTACTCATGACTGTAACAGCAGTGAGATTCCATATAGGCACATGTACAGCAGCTGTTTGATGGTGATGGTTCTTCCATGTAACATACCAGTTATCGTGTAATTTAGTGCCACTTATTGCAAAGTGTTACCAAGGGGAACATTGAAAATACTTTTCCTTTAGACATATGGATAATTTGATGAATGACAAATATGAAATTCATATTACATTTTTTAATTGTGGAGAAAATGTGAAACCTCGTATCTTACTGCAACTTCCCTTTCATATTGTTAATTACTTAGAGCCCACTAAAAATGCCCACTATTATCCCCCTTTGCAAATGGTGATCTGTGATGAATATATGAAATAAAACAAGCAAGCATAAAGAGCTGGCAACCACAGCTGAAATAAGTGAAACACCTAACAAAAATTACTGAGTAATGCTTTTTATTAAGTGGCACAAAGTACACACTAAAAACTATGCAAAATATAGGTAACTACAGTGTACGTACATGTAAGTATCTTGTACTTGCTGTGTATGGATGTTGGAAACCCATGTAATTATAATATGCATTTTGAATATTGGGAAAGAGGAAATCTTAGTGTAGATAATAGAATTTGTTTTGAAATATACACTGGCAATATTGAAATATACTCAGTGCAATATCTGAAATTCTATTGCTGGATACTTCATGCAAAGGGATTTTAAAGAATTATTTAACACCATCCAAGAGGTTGCTAGCCTTCACCTCCCCCACACTAAAGCATTAATTAAAAATGCAGCTGATTCAACAACAACACTTTAAGTTTTTCTCAATCATGAATGCGACACAATAAAATTATTTGGTCTACTTTTTAGCAGAACTGGAGAGAAAGAAATAACCTGAGTTTTAAACTTTGCTTGATATCTAATTGGATTTGGAATTCTTAAACTTTCTTTGAAATATGTGTATGTTTTAATAGATTATAGTAGTTTTATTATAAGTACAAATTTATTCAGTCAAAGAACACGGGTTACCCCTAATTAATAGTTAAGGTCACTATATCTTAATGGGCAATTTTTTAGGCTTTTGTTCTATTTATTTTATTCTTTTCCGTTTCTCTCCCTATTCTCTCCCAGACATGCCCTTTGCACTATACCCTTCCAAAGGCAATGGATTGAAAGTAGCAAGATTATAAAGAGAGCTAAAGGGGACAACGTATCAGAATGGGTTCTAAACTCATCAGCATTTTTATGTATTGAGATTATTAATATTGAATGCAATAGTTATTGGATATAGCTGGTAAGTTCTCTGCCATGCATACTTACAATAATCCTTCTACCTCTCACTTTTAACATGGGCTATGATATAGAAGAAATAATGATTTACAGGATATCCCAGGAAGCACTCTTCGGGACTTTCATAACAGTCCACTCCCCAGCCCCTGGGAAATCTCAAAAGCCAGTTTCTTTTAGTGTATTCAGTGGTGTATGGATCTGCATTGGTTTTTCCTTTTCTATCATTAACTTTTCCTATAGGCAAAATATGCTAATTTTATAAGGATAGTTCTCATGCCTACTGATATTTCACTGTAATATAATTGTGTTGATTTTTAAAAAATAATTTAAATGGCAACACTTTGGAATCCAATCTGACATTTCATTTAATATTTAAAATGCAAAATTTTCTCATAAATTAATGCTGTGCTTTTAAGTAAAAATTATGTATATGATTTATTTTCCCAAGAAGTGTTATCTATGTGATGCAAAAATTTAAGTATTTAAAATTGCCTCCTTATTAACAAAATACCTGAATAATGAATGCAAAGTCTTGCCACCAATGCCCACTTTATTGTGTCTGCTTAGACGTAATATGAATTTTTCAAGTGATGTAATTTAATTATTTGAAAAGGAAATTACATTTTAAAAGTAGATTTTT